CAGAGTGGTTAAGTCTCTCTGACTGCCTTTACCACAGTGTAGTTCCCTTACTTATGAACGAGTGTTAAGTTGCCGCCAATTTACATTACCATCCTGTTTCGCTTTTACGTCTTTGCATAAACTGGGTGATAATTGTAGGTACTATCCATAAACCTAACCCAGGTTGTTTGCCTCATTGAAGGGCTTCATAAGGCTGTGCTTCAAAACATCTGACACTGGCAGAAATTAATTGGAAGTGAAATTTGGTCGCAATAGTCATCAGTCACTGATGTCAAACTAGCGATCAAAGGATAGAGATGTTGGCCTAGGATCAAACAAATCTTTAAGGATGTGCAAAATGGGTCTCAGCTTGCTAAATTGTAGCCAATGTTATAGAGTATGGACCCGGCTTTGTCGGTCACATATCTGTCGCATTTAAAACCAGATTGTCTCTTCATGATTAATGGATGCTTTTCATTGTAAAATACTTGCTAAATACTTTATGATGGATATATCAACTGTGGAAAAAGGATCTATTTGAATCAGTTTCATATTTTATTAGTTGTTCTGGATATAATGCCAGTTTTAAGACTGGAAACATCATTTTGAGGAAACTTCATACCGTTTCCTCTTCAGTATTATGTGAACATTGTAAATATTTATTACAAATTTACTGAAGCTTATGCATATGGACCATATTTTCCCCGTGTCTGCATGGGTTTCTTCTGGTGTTCTAGTTTCCTCCACAGACCGTAAGTCATGTGATATATACTTACTGGGGAACTTTATTAAGTACACCTTACTAGTACCAGGTTGAACCCCCCCCTTACCTTCAGAACTGCCTTAGTCCTTAATGGCAGTGGTGTCCAAAGTCAGTCCTGGAGAATCGGTGTCCTGCAGATTTTAGCTCCAACTTGCCTCAACACACCTGCATGGATGTTTTTAGAAAGCCTAGTGAGAGCTTAGCTAGCCAAGGTGTGTCTGATTGGGGTTGGAACTAAACTTTACAGGACACCGGCCCTCCAGGACCGAGTTTGGACACCCCTGCTTTATGGCATATATTCAACAAGATACTAGAAATATTCCTCAGAGATTTTGGTCAATATTAACTTTATAGCATTTTGCAGTTGCTGCAGATTTGTCGGCTGCACATCCATGATGCGAATCTCTCGTTCCACCACATCCCACCACATGGTACTCTATTGGATTGAGATCTGGTGACTGTGTGGAGGCCATTTAAGCACAGTGAACTCATTATCATGTTTAAGAAACCAGTCTGAGAGGATTCGCACTTTTTGACATGGAGCATTATTCTGCTGGAAGAAGCCATCCAAAGTTGGCTACACTGTAGTCATACAGGAGTGGACATGGTCAACAACAATACTCAGGTAGGCTGTGGCGTTGACACGATGCTCGATAGGTACTAATAGGCCTAAAGTGTGCCAAGAAAATCCCCCACACCACCCTACACCATGACCATCAGCCTGAACCGTTGATACAAGGCAGGATGGATGCATGCTTTCATGTTGTTGACACCAAATTCTGACCCTACCATCTGAATGTCACAGCAGAAATTGAGACTCCCCAGACGAGGCAATGTTTTTTCAATTTTCTATTGTCCAATTTTGGTGAGCCTGTGTGAATTGTAGCTTCAGTTTCCTGTTCTTAGCTAACAGGAGTGGCACCCGGTGTGGTCTTCTGCTGCTGTAGCCCATCCACTTCAAGGTTCAATGTGTTGTGCATTCAGAGCATTCTTCTGCGTACTTCGGTTATAACGAGTGGTTATTTTTGGTTATATCCCAGCATTTCCATCAGCTGGAACCACTCTGGCCATTCTTCTCTGGCATCAACAGAACTGCCCCACACTGGATATTTTTTCTTTTTTGGACCATTCTTTGTAAACCCTAGAGAAGGTTGTGTGTGAAAATCCCAGTAGATCACCAGTTTCTGAAATACTCAGGCCAGCTCGTCTGGCACCAACAACCATGCTACGTTCAAAGATACTTAAAACACCTTTCTTTTCCATTCTGATGCTTGGTTTGAACTGCAGCAGATCGTCTTGATCATGTCTACATGCCTAAATGCATTCAGTTGCTGCCATGTGATTGGCTGATTAAAAATTTGCTTTAACAAGAAGTTGGAGAGGTGTACCTAATAAAGTGGCCGGTTAGTGTAGGTTAATTAGTGTGATAGATGTTATTGATTAACCTAAAATTGAACAAAGTGTATGTAGAGTGTGTTTACCACCCCTTAGGGTTGTACTCCCCGTACTGAGTTTACAAGGAAAGTAAAACATATGCCAGAGTAACTGGCGTTTCATTCTGCTGTGGCGACCCCTGATAAAGCAGGGAATAAGCTGAAGGAAAGTGAGTGAGTGAGCTTTTGAATAATTTAATGCATCCTTGCTGAATATGATATTTGCTTTGTTTCAAGGATGTCATTTATTTATTTATTTATTTTTTTACCACACTGGTTCATAATACAGTTTTAGTTCTCTCTGACACATTGACAGTGAACTCTATCAGCAATTCTTAATTAACACATCAGCAAATCCACAGAAAACCATCAATGTTATTAGGGGTTATACAGAGCAGAGACAGACACATAAATGCTGAAGAATAAAAATAGAATAGCACAGGTTTTTTGAAGTGTGATAAAATAAACCATAGTTGAACTTCTTTTCTTGATCGGTACACACTCTGTCAGCTGGAGCCGTGGTCAGAGGCTAATCTTATCCTCTTCACTATCTCTCTCTCTCACACACAGATGAGTCAAGTCCTCCACTATCCCAACAGCCTCATTAGAACAGATTGCTGCTCTCTCAGCCCTGAAATGGAAACTCTACTATACTGCTGTAGTGAGAAAAAGAGAGAGAGAGATCAGGTTTAGTATAGAATTTTCCAGCTTTCTTTGCCGTTTGTTATTGGTTGCAGTTTTACACTTGCTCCCATTAATATGTTCATTTAAGAGTGTATTTTGTCTATGGTGAAAAAAATTGCTTCATACTGTAAGTAGATTGAATTATGGCATAATGCAAATGTAAAACTGCAAAAATGTTTGCTGGAGAATTAGGTTTAAGACAATGTATTATACCACTGTGGTAAAGCAGAACTTTTAGCATCATTACTGCTGTGGCATGTGATCCTTCAGAAATCATTCTAAGATGTTGATTTGTTGTTTAAGAAACATTAATTTAAATCATCAAACATAATTTTTTAAGTTTTCTTTTTTTTTTCCACTGTCAACATGTCAGAGTTTATTACACTTCGTGGCTTACAAGGACGTAACAAAAAAGAGGCACACCCAAGAAAGCCAAAATGAAATCACATAATTTATTAAAGAAACTGTTTTAAACAACTTACAAAGCAATAATATGTAAATGTAGTAGTCAGGAATCAGTAGTGTTTCAGATGAAGGTGTATGCATAAACATGTAATGTAAGCAATATTGGATGTACAAAGTAACTAAATATAACAAAACGAAACAAGAGTGTCACTGTGGTGCAGTGGGTAGCCTTACAGCAAGAAGGTCACTGGTTTGATCAGTTAGCATTTCAGTGTGGAATTTGCATGTTCTCCTCGTGTTCGTGTGGGTTTCCCCCACAAGTCCAAAGACATGCACTATAGGTGAATTGGGTTAGCTAAATTGTCCGCAGTGTACAGTATGTGTGTGAATGAGTGTGTATGGATGTTTCCCAGTGATGGGTTGCAGCTGGAAGGACATCCGCTGCTTAAACATATGCTGCAAAAGTTGGTGGTTCATTCTGCTGTGGCGACCCCAGATTAATAAAGGGACTAAGCCGAAAAGAAGATGAATGAATGAATGAAAACAAAACAAAACGTCCAGTCCAAAGCAGCAGCCCTCTTCCAAATGCCAGCCATAGGATTTTAAAGGGTCCAGAGCAGTAAATGATAGGTGTTTCTTACAGCAATTAAATTAATTCGGAACCAACCCTCAATCTTAACCAGACAGACTCCTAGGTCATAGAGTGTCACAGATGGAAAAGTATAAGAGCATAAGAAGACTCTTTATTTCAAATAGGATTTAAAAATAAAAATATTTTCTAGCATAATACATTTCTTTATTGTTGCTTTGTCATAAAATAAATCAACTACATTTTAAAATATGTTACAAAAGAAAACCTTTATTTTATACTGGAGTATTAGTTTAACATAAATTCAGCCTTGTTGATTTATAATTATATAAACTTTTGACCAATAGTGTAGTAATCATAATCAACATAATATATATTTTTGTGACATGGTTATTTAAGGTTATCAAAATGAATGTACAATGTGCTTTTACAGACATAATCAAATGCAAGTTTTACAAAAAAAAATGTGCAATAGGTTATAGAAAATAAGCAAAAAAGAAAAAAGCAAATAAATCTATAGATGAAGGTATAGAAAAAAAGAACAAAAAGGGAAACATCATACCATCTGTAAGTAGTAATAATGGTTACTAAATAGTCACAAAGTCTAGGGACAAGATGAACATTACAACAAAACTAAAGTTAAAAAAAACAATAAAATAAAAAAACAAAATAAAACAAACAAACAACAAAAGACCATTCCATGTGAGCTCCTGACAACCCTCAGGGACTATGCTAATTGGCTCTGTATTTAACCAATTTTACATTAAGTGATATCTCAGACCACACATCAGCTTAATATTAAAACCATGTCATTTGTATCTGTCAACATACACCCTTAAACATGAAGGTGCTTTATCATCATCAATAGTTACATTAAGAACCTGGAAACTTTTTATTCCAAAAATTTTATTGATCTATACAATGAAAAAAAGGTTCTTTAGTTTATGCAAACATTCATCACACTTTTAAAAAAAGGTTCTTTAACTAAAAGGTTTTCCGGGTTACCAAAAAAAAAAGCTGCTTCTATAACATCACTGATAACAAAAAAAAAAACATTTTGGTTCTTCCTGGCACCTTTGTGAACTTTAAAAAATCTCAGCTTTTTTCATATGTGTGCGTTCTCAAAGCATGTGTTTATTCATTTCAGGTACATATATGTGCCTCTGGGTGGTTCACGTCATGGTGCTTTCCGGAAGCTTCTCTCCACTGCGCTGGCGTTTGGGTTTGTGTGTTTCTGGCATGGTTGCCATGACTACCTGCTGTACTGGGCACTGCTAAACTGGGTAGGGGTGTTAGTGGAGAACGCATTTGCACTCCTCTTCTCGTCTCCCCCTCTTCGTCATGCTATTGTGAGTTCACACAAAGCTTTATCTGTTAATAAATGATTACTTAATAAATATGAAATAACACAGCTTGATTGGTATTATCTGATATTTCTTGATCTAGGTCTACTGTCTGACACCTCGGATGCAGAGACGGGGCTTGGCTCTAATATCTGCCTTCTCCACTGCATTTCTTATTTTGTCCAATCTCTTCTTTCTGGGTGGGACCCATGTAGGTAGAATCTTCTGGAAGAAATTATTTGTCCAAGGTGGGTCATTTCAATGTATTCAATCTCCTACCTATGCTTTTAGAAAAGAAGAACACTTTTTAAACTCACTAATACCAAGTGAACCTTGTTATTAGCAATACTGGTGGTCAATAAGAGAATTTCAGCCACCAGCTTATTGTTTATCAGTCTACACAAGACTGCATGCTAATCAATGCCCCAATATATCATGTTGAACTTTATCAAGTAAGCAGTTGGAAATATAATCCTTTTACAAGCTATTCACACATCCACAAATAAAGTGATTAATAGATGAATATTCTTATTTATAACCACTTTAAATGTGATATCGCAAAAAAACTCTACAGTAAAAATGATAATTAGATACTTTACATACTCTTGAATAGTTTAATCAATGCACAAAATTTAATTTTAAAAGGATCAATAAATAATAATTGTACATTTTAAAACGTTTTGGTGAAATTGTTTATTTTACTTTATTAAATAATTCACAATCTTTACTTTTAGTAGTATTATTGACGTCAAACCCCAAGTAAGTGTACCATTTTAACAGTATTTCATTAATATATTATTTTAAAAGTTTCATTTAAATACACTTTTATGATTTGATTTGAAATTGTATGATTTACCACAAGTGCATATTCAATACAATTAAGTACACTTCTAGGATTAAGAGACGTTTATACACTTCATCAGTCAGATTTCTTTCCCCTCAGTCTGTAACTGCTGAGAAGTCAGCCACAGACGCTGACTAAGTATCTAAACTCTCCAGGAACTTGAAAGTTTTCAACCTTTTAACATTTTGTGGGTCATGTTGAGGATGTGATTCAAAGGGTGAGCTGTAATGATCTGGGGCTGTAATGTAATGATATAAGACACGCTGTCATTTCATGCCAGATCAGACACAAAAGAGAGGAAATGAATTCATTCTGAAGTGCTCCAAAAGCAATTGGAGTTGAGAAGTGCTGAGTCATTGTTTTGTGATTCATATAAGATGTTAGAAATGATTTCTTGAAACTGTTTCTTGGATTGGAGTGTTTAAAAAAAAAAGAATAGTTAACATTATTTCTTATATACAATGTAATTTAGAAAGATGATTCATATTTAGAGTTGGTTCTCAATTTACTTGTCAATCTCTAGACCTGTGAGCCTAATCCAGCCATATGATACATATATATGATTCAAACCAAATATAAATTTAAGTATTTGTGCAAGTAGGTTACAATTTAAAATGTATGGTGCAAATGTTGCAGAATGAACAACACAAGTTCAAGATATTTAACTCAAGTGGAAAATTTGTGAGTTCAACATCTTGAACTTTTAGAATCTAGAGCAATCTAGAACGAATGACATGGTGCTTTGTGTTTGGTGTGAACTCAGCATTATATTAAAAGTCCACATTGCTTTATATCATATGCTGACAATAAACTTCATCTCCCATAATGCGTGTTTGTTTTGTGACCAGCCATCACTAGTCAGTGTTGACCTTCAACTAAGCAGCACTTGTTTGAATTGCAAATGTCCCATCTGTCACTAAATAGCAGCTCAAAATTAATTGTTGTTTCCGTAGTTCTTCTTCTCTTAAATGTATCAAAATTGTGAGAAAAGATAATGACTCTGGATTAATGTGGGTTTTTTAACCTGATAAAAATGATTCATGTTAAAATAACCTAGAGAAGTAACATCTATTTTACATTTATGCAAGTACATATATTTTTTTATTACTTTAATATTTTATGATGCAATCAGGAGACAATTATTTAACAGTATGTTAAAGAATTGTAACATTTATACAGTCTTACAGTTATCAATCAATCAATCAAACAATCAAACTTCATTTATATAGCACCTTATTACAACCAGGCGGCTGTGCAAAGTGCTTTACAGTATTAAAAACAAAATTAAGCATTAAAACACACAAAATGGTTAGAACATAAGTGTCAATAAAACAGTAAAGCAGCATTTTGTACTAACAAATATCTAAAGCAAGTCTAATTAAGTAGGTTTTAAGTTTTGCTTTAAACAGTGCCACATCTGTGATGATGCGAAGTTCTAAAGGGAGGGTATTTCACAGTTTTGGACCTGCCACTGAAAATGAACGATCATCCCATTGTGGATCACCTGGATCTGGGGACCTCCAGCAACAACTGACCTGCTGATTGTAGGTCCGTGTTCGGTTTATGAACCTTTAAGATCTCACATAAATATGAAGGTGCAAGACTGCATTAAAAACAAACGACAGTAGTTTAAAATCAATCCTGAATTAAACAGGGAACCAGTGAAGGGAGTAAAGAACAGGTGTAATGTGCTCACGTTTGCGACTATTTGTCAGCATGCGAGCAGCAGCATTTTGCATCATTTGTAACCGATGAAGTAAGGTTTAGTTAATTCCAGCATAGAGTACATTGTAAAAGTTCAGGCGAGAGATGATAAAACCATGATTGGCTTTTTATTTTAGATCACACTGGCTCAGAAATGGCTTGACTTTGGCAAGAAGGCGAAGCTGAAAATCTTGCCTTGATCACTAAATTTACCTGTTTTATTTTATACTACTGTCCAAATTTACTGCCAAGTTTTTAACTACGTGGCTAAAATGTGGAGAAAAGCTAAGATAATTTGAGGGTTGCCAAACCCAAAACATTCTGTTTTGTCTTCGTTCAGAGAAAGTTCTGTTACAGCCAAAGTTTGATGTCAACTAAAGTTATACACTATAACTATAAAGTTTTAACTAAGGGCAGCCATAATAATAAGTAGACCTCAGTGAAAATGAGTTTAAAATAACCAATTTAAGCTTTGAAAAATTGAAACGTTATGACAAAATATGTTTTTTTATGACTGCACTCCATTTCATGGTCACTAATTAAAAACATAATCATGTAATTTCCACTGAAACACAGATCATTTAAAATTATCCTGATAAACATGATAATAGGATTTACAAACCTATGAAGTTAATGCTGCTTTTGCTCATGTGAACCCCATTGTAAATCTATTTGAAAAGAAGCTTTGGAGCATTTAATAGCACCTGAAGCACCAGTGGATATCTGAACATTTATGAAAGTTCAATGTGAAAATGCAGTGTGAAAAGATATAGACAGGTGATTGTCTGTCTGGAAGTTTCTAGAAGCTGCTATTCATCCATTTGCCACCAGGTACTCTGAACACCACAGAGTCTGAACAACGGTCACCATGGTCATCATTCATTCTCAGCATCTCTGAAAGGTAACCATGCTGATCTGCCCACCCGCTAAAGCAGCTGTCAGTCAGACGCCGACTGAAGGGTTTTATTCCTCGCAGTTAGAGGCAGGAGGTGCTGTAGGCTTCATTTATTCATTTTATTCTCCATTTTATTATGGGAAGCATAGCCTACTACATTACTTACATTTATTTGCTCCCGTACGTCAGTTGTGTTTAAGCTTCTTGGAACTAGTTTTAATATTTTGGGGATCTTTTTATTTGATAATGCCAATGGAGTACATGCACAAAGACGTTGAATTTTCATTACAAAATCGCCACATTTAGGATCAGTTTCCTTTAAAAATAAGTGATCTTTACTGTCTGAAAGATATACAATATAAAGTGGGTCTCGGACCGGACAAGAAGCACTGCATTACATTACATTTTTTCCTGCCTTTATGTTCTTTAAAATATGAACATTAATTTTATCCCAGTATTTTCAATGAAGTTTCTGCGCTAGCCTGCTGCCACTGACGGCACTAGAGTTTACATAATCTATCATCCCATTTTACGCTTGAACAACTACCTGAATGCTTAAGTTTAAGTAACTGATTGTATTTTAATTATATTACAATGTCGATGCTGTAAAATTTCAAATGGTCACGTAAACCTTTCGTCGAAAGTTTATCATTGGCTGAGAAACACTAGCTGTGCATATAGCCCATTAAACAATATATGTTTAATGTGTTTTTGTTCTGGAACGGGGTTAGATTTGTAATGGCTAAATAAATACAATGCTAAAACCATCAGTTGGTGGCAGGAAGTCCCTTTCTTAATGAGTGAGCAAATCATTTGAATTAATAAATCTGTGAATCGAATTCATGTACAGCAGAGATGCCCAAAGTAGGGCCCATAAACCAAAGTTGGCCCATTGTAACCTTTAATTTGGCTCTCTGTCCCATCTGAGAGGAAAGTGAGAATGATGGAGAACATTGGGGCAAATGACAAAGAGATGGTCATTTCTAATTTGACGTAACCTTTTTTGTTTGTTTGTTTATTGCTGAACTACAAAAAAAGAAAACAGAAAATAAATGTTTCAGTTAAATGTTGTACATGAATCAGATTTTTTATGGTCACTCGACTATGCAGAAGGAAAAAACTAGTGTAATTTTGTTATAAATTAGATTGTTTTATTCTTACTCAGGCGACGCAGTGGCGCAGTAGGTAGTGCTGTCAACTTCACGTTCGCGTGGGTTTCCTCCAGGTGCTCCGGTTTCCCCCACAGTCCAAAGACATGCGGTACAGGTGAATTGGGTAGGCTAAATTGTCTGTAGAATGAGTGTGAATAAGTGTGGATCTTTCCCAGAGATGGGTTGCAGCTGGAAGGGCATCTGCTGCGTAAAACATATGCTGGATAAGTTGGCAGTTCATTCCTTACATATGTTGTGGTGACCCCTAATTAATAAAGGGACTAAGCCGAAAAGAAAATGAATGAATGAATGTTTTTACTCTAATAAGTTTATTATAAATTAAATTAATAAAAAATAATATAATATAAATCAATGTTTTCTAGTTGGTTTTAAACAGTATTAAATAAATTAGGAAATTAATGGTAAATTACTTCACCTATATTTATCTTCCGCCCACTAGCCTCTATCAAGTTTGGTTTGTAGCACTTCATAAGAAAAAGTTTGGGCACCCCTGATTTAGAGAATCTCTTTATGAATGGATCCTTGAAACGTTGATAAGTTAAAAAATGAAAATCAATTTCAAATCAAAACAAAATATTACAGTTCTGTTCTGAGATGGACAAATGCTCTGGGCATTTTTCAGTGCCACAAATG